GGGAGCGTACAGCTTCAGTAGGGAGATAAGACACGCAAACTGGAGGTTAAATAAGGGCACAAGATAGCTTATAAGAGGGCTCACAGGAGAGCGGCTGGTTAAGCGGTCAGAGAACCTGACAGTAAAAGCCCTAGGAGTTAAGAGGAGTAACAGATCCGAGAAGGCGGGGCAGCCACAGGTGGCGTCCAGCTCAGCCCGGCCCCCTCCCCGATCTGGTCCTCAGTGATGGGGGGACCTGGAGGCCCTGAGGGAGAGGAACAGGAGGAGTGGCGTAGGCAGGTTCCAGGCTCATTGGCTGGGGCAGAAGGATGCCACAGCCATGTGGGCAGGCGCTTTGGAGCTTCCCCCGGGCCCAGCAGATCTGCCCCCAGCACCCAGCGCTGGAGTGTTAGGTAGTACTGAGGTGATGTGCAGGTGTGTGGGGTCTGCTTGTCCGCTGCCTACGTTCCTGCTCATGTCCTTCCACCACTGTTCCTGAGCTGGGCCTGGGGACAGTGGCCGTGATGATGTGTTTCCCCGACGTGCTGTCCCTTGGAGTGCACCTCCCGTTCTCAGAGGCGAGTCTTAGACTGGATGTTGTCATAACCCACCCTTTCTGGTCTACCTTTCAACCCTCATACCCCCACTCCCCCTCCCCCACCGCCCAGCCCCCACTCCGCATCCCCTCCCTCCCCTGCTGCTTGGCAGAGCTCTGGGAGCGCTCTGCTAGGCCCTGAAGCAAATCCAGGAGACACAGGGTGATGGTGACGCATTTGTGTCAGGAGAGGGTGAGGCAGGGAGGGCCTGGCCCCTCGGCGCTGTCTGCAGCCGCCACTCTCCCCCGGTCAGCCCCGAGCCCGCCCAGGGCCTGTGTGGGGCAAGAACACAGAAACAGAGCTTCACAAAGGGCACAGGAGGCAGCTTGTTGGTTCCCGACTGGCCTCACCCCCGTCACCCTCTGAGCAGCTCCCACATGGGTGGAGGAGGCAGCGGAGCGAGTCCCGTCATTGCCACGGTGCTGCGCCCCCCACACCAGGCCTGGAAAGGGGCTTTGGGAAGAGGACGCAGGGCGGAGAGGGGCTCACAAAGAAGACTGGGAGGAAGGTGGAGAGAAGGACCATACAGAGGGACGGAGCCACTCACTCTATGCCTGCCCTGCAGTGCCAGGGGCCTGGGAAGCAGGAATTCATTTGTGCTCATGGTAGCCCCATGAGGAGGAGCTATTGTTATTATTATCATCCCTCACCCATGATGTTGTTGAGAAAGAGAAAGAGAGAGAGAGAGAGAGAGAGAGAGAGAGAGAGAGAGAGAGACATTGATTGCTTGCCTCCTGTACATACCCCGACCAGGGATCAAACCCAAACCCTCTGGTGTACGGGGCAATGCTCCAACCAATGAGCCACCCGGCCAGGGTAAGGTGCTATTACTTTGGTTCCCATTTCCAGAGGAGGCAGCAGGGGAGTTCAGAAGTTGGCCCCGGAACACACCACAAATGGCACTGGCGTTGGAACTGACCCAGTACCACTCCAGAGCCACTTTTCTCAAACACTGTCCTGTCGCTGCCCCGTCTCCTCCCAGCCTGAGCAAAGTCCACTCACGTCACCCACGTTGGGGAAAGGAAGAAAGACAGCAACTCAGCTTCCCCCTGGAGGCCTGGCCAGCTGGTGGCGGAGCGCGCCTGCACAGTCACACGAAGGCCCGGGAATCCCATGGGCCAGTCCTGAGAACCTCTGGCTAACGCAGTCGGTGCCAGCTGCGGGCACTGTTGGGCCAGCCAGGAACGCCTGCCCCCTGGGTGCAGGCTGCGACACCGCTCAGGGGGGTGTCGATGGGTCCCGTTCGGACACGCTGTGGGTGGGCAGGTGTGGGGGGAGCTCTGAACAAGTGAACTGCTGAGAGACCCGGGAATACTTTGGGGCCCTATTTCCGAGCTCTGGCTTAGGCCCGCTCTGCTTTTAAAGGTTCCATCCAAACAGTTGAAGGGTCCCTGCCTCAATGAGTGACCAGCCAAGTGTGAAAGTGGGACATGCCACCTGAGAGGGCTTTAAAGTCTTAGTAAAAAAAAAATTAAAATTAAAAAAAAGCCTTAGCCGAGCAGTGCGGCAATAGCCCTGAGTGAGCTGAGGCCCACTGAGTCCCCCGGACGAGGAACCCGGCAGGAAGGGCTCAGGGGAGACAGTCTGCGCTGGCTTTGGGGAGCGGGGCACAATGTGGCTGGAAGAGGGGGCCCCTCAGTTGTGAAGAATGGGGCTGTGTGGGGAGGGGGAATGGCCAGCTGTAGCGGGAGTAAGCAGTCTTCCAGGGCAGAAAGGAGAGCGGCTGGGGTCCGGCTGCGGGCGAAGCCCAGCTGCTGGGAGAGGCCGGAGGCTTTGCAGGCCCGGGCCGGTCAGCAGCGGGTCCTCGCTGGGACTGTGAGCGCTGACTTAGAGGCAGAGGAAAGGGCCCGATGCAGACCTTCCTGGAGCACCAGCTGGTGCAGGCAGGCGGGTGCCCCCACCAGGGCCTAAGAAGGGGCTTCCCGTCACCCTGCGGGCCAGGGGCAGGTGGAGAGAGCTCCCAGTGGGGTGGACAGGCTGGTTCTCAGTCACTGGGATTATCCAAAGCCCCTGCCCACCTCTAAGACTTACAGGGTTACAATAGGAAAGGAGGTGGTCATTCAGCCCCCCTCCTGCAGGGACCCAACAAGAACTGACAAAATCCCCGCTGAGGGATGCATGCGCCGGGATGGGAGGGATGGAAGGGGAGGGATCCTTACCCCTGGCTCTTCAACAAAATGTTATGGCCCGAGGGGGGAGGGAAATTTAGCCTTAAGCCACTCAGCATTTGGAATTAGTTGTTAATTCCCCTCCGAGGAGGGTATGTGTAAGTGTGGGGACAGAGTAAGAACCAATTCTGGGCGCCTTGTTTTTCTTCGCAATTTACCCACACGTGGTATTTCCTTTCCTGCTAACGTTTATCCCATCTCCAACTCAGCGGGAGCCACACTGCTTGGGGAGTGTCTCTGGCGCACGCAGGCCCAGGGGGATCCCTGACCCGGAGCTAGAACAGACCGGGCGCTGGAAACGCTCCGTGCCTGTGCTGTCCACTCTGGCAGTCGTTAGCCACGGTGGCTGTGGGAACTGGGCCTGTGGCTGGAGCCACTGAGGAACTGAATAGAAGTTAATTTAATGTAAACAGCCGCCTGTGCCTCGCAGCTAACACCTTACGCAGAATGGTCCTTGAGCACCTGTTGTCTGAACAGTGATTTAATCCTTCCCGTCATCTCAGGGGACCTGCTACTGACCAGACACAAATTACCAAGTGTGCACAGCTCTACTGAGGAGGTGCTGTCACCCCCATTTGAGGGGGGAGAAGTAAGAGGACGAGAAAGCTCCCTGGAGCGGTAGAGCTGGACTTGAGCCTGGGACGGACGCCCGCAGAGGGGGCATTGCGCACAGGATTGGGAGAGAGTTGGAAGGTGGGGACAGGGCTGACGAGAAGCCCAGGAGATGTGGGACAGGACTTGGGGCTCTTCCACATTTCACTCCTCTTCTTGGCTCCAGGAAGCCTCTTCAATCCTGCCCCCTCGGTGCTTAAAGCAGAGGCCAGCCAGCTGTGGGAAGCTAGGACTCACGAGTGTGTATAAATTGGAGTTATTGCTGGTTCACATGTTCATCCATTCAGTGAAAAATATATTAAGCCTCGTAAGGATTTGGGTTCAAATAGTTCAGTAATACAGCTGAGAATCTGCATTTCAACAAAAGCCAGGCAATTATGGTCCACAGATCGCACTTGGAAGTTATAGTTCTTTATGTTTATAGTCTTTTATGTATTTTTTTACTTGGTTTCCCAATTACAGCCAGAAGTAATCGCTTCTTCCTCCGCTCGTCCCTTTAGCAGATCCTGCACCTGGCTGCAGACTAGATGCACCTGGAGCTTCGGGAAAAGCTGAGGACAGGTCCTAGCCCAGCTAGTTGGCCAGAATCCTGGGTGGGGGTGCTAGGGCGTCTCCTGGGGGAGTGGACTCACGTGCAGCCAGGGGTGAGGACCAGCCTCGTCTCTGCTCAGCCACATCCTGCTCCGCGTTTCTCATCCGCCCCCTTTTGCGTGGGCGGAGTGATCTCCAAGCTGCAAAGCAGTTTCCACTGAATGAAACTCTTTCCCCTTTCTCAGTTCAGCTTTAGGCGCACCAAAACATGGCCCAGGAGAGGCAGTCTTTTGCCCAAAGGAGACAAATGACTCTTCCTCTGGCCTTTCTGAACCATCCTCTTTTTGCTGGAAAGATCCAGCACAGCTTTGTGAGTGGCACCTCGTGTCAGAGGGTCAGGAGAGGAAGCCCCGCGGTGAGATGGGAGAGCTCGGGCGACGGTGGGATGGGAGAGCTCGGGCGATGGTGGGATGGATGGGCCTGCCTGGGTCAGCAGAGAGTCAGATTTCAGGTGTCGGTGCCGGCGGCCAGCTTCCGGTCCCTATGGCATGGACAGCACCGGGGCCGAGGGAACTCTTCCAGGATGGAGTTCTCTCCTGGAAGGATCCCTGGCGCCATAGTGGGCAAGTGGAAGCAGGCCTGGGTGCAGGTAGAATCATGAGGAAGGAGGATTTCTCAGGTGCTCCGTCCCCCTGGCTTCCCCTTTAATTACCAATGGCCTGGACCCTGCCCCTTCCCAGAGGTCCCTGCCGACATGCCCTCCGCTCCCCTCCCCCAAGCCTGCTCCTAAGGCGCGCTAGGCGGAATAGTGCTAGGCAAGTCAAGTGTGCTGCCCAGTCCAAGGGTTCTTGTTTGTTTTTAAATCAGAGGAGTGTTTCAGGTGGTGGCATTCTAGCTGTCAGTGTGGAGTAAGTGTTTTTGAGGGAAGTGGGTTTTCTTCTGACTTCCTGGATCACAGAGGCAGGCCACTGTGAAATCAGAGGGGGGTGGGAGGGCACCTGCTTCGGGAGGAGTCACTGCCTCTCTGGAGGAAAGGGGGGCTCGCCATTGGGGCCACTTGCGGTGCCTTTGGGAGGCATCAGCAGGGGCCTCACGCACACCCTCTGCCCTCCAGATGTGGACGAGTGTGTGGAGGGGACCGACAGCTGCCACATCGATGCCATCTGCCAGAACACCCCCCGGTCGTACAAGTGCATCTGCAAGTCCGGCTACACTGGCGACGGTAAACACTGCAAAGGTGAGGCTGGGAGGGCGCCCGCAGCGGGGAGAGCAGTGCCGCTGGCTCCCCTGCCCGGGGCTGCCCTGCCCGACACTGGCCTGGGGAGGGGGCTGATGGAGGCGGGGAGGGGCGGAGCTATTTCCCCCCAGAGGGAGCGCCATTTTCTAATTTGCACAGACTAGTTCACAGCCAGACACATCGGGCTGTTTAGGGGTCAGAATCATGGGACCAAGGCCCGAGGGTCCCTGACAGTGGAGCCTCATCTTCAGGCTCCTGCACCACAAAGCGTGAGGACAGATGGGGTTCATCCTGGACGCAGGCCCCCGTGGAGGCGGTGCAGAGGAAGCAGGCTCTGCGTCAGTGACCCTCAGGGCTGACGAGGCGTCAGGGCAGGTGCACTCTTACTTGCTGGTGACAATGTGACTGGGAAAGTGATTGTGTCCTCGAGAGAGGAACCCTAAAGGCATTTATATCCTCTGACCCAGGACTTTTAGGAACTTCTTCAAAAGAAATTCAGAGAAATAACATACAAGAGAAGATATTCTTTGATGCTTTATTAATGATAGTGAGGTATTATAAATGGAAGGACTCTAACAACAGAGAAAAAAACAAATTATGTTGTCGTGACACGATAGAACAGTTTGCACCCATGTACATTGGTAACTATTATAGAAAGGCTGGGTGGAAATACGAGAAAATGTGTGACTTTAGATGAAAATAGCAAAATGCAAAATAGTATGAAAGTAACTGTAAGCGTGCGTGCACACACCCACACACACACACACACATTCACACACACTCACTCACATAGACAAGGCGGTTGACCCCCACAGGGCTGAGCCCAGGGCTGGAGCGCGGGGCACACAGGTGGGTCCAGCGGCCTCGCTCCCCTTTGCCCGCAGACGTGGACGAGTGTGAGCGCGAGGATAACGCAGGCTGTGTGCACGACTGTGTCAACATCCCTGGCAATTACCGGTGCACCTGCTACGACGGATTCCACCTGGCACATGATGGACACAACTGTCTGGGTGAGCAAGGAGGAGGGGCGTGGGAGGGGAGTGGATCTCGTGGGGAAGGTGGTGTTTCAGACAGGGCGAGGAAAGTGACCAAAAACGGTGCAAAATAGAGAACAAGATCCGCCTCCCCTCTGAGACGGGCACTGGGGTTGAACTAGTCCTGCGCTGGGTGAGCACAGCAGAGGAGAGGCCAGTGGTGGGCGTAGCCCGTGGCTGCAGCCAGATCCTGCCCTGCTGCTCACTAGGAATGGCCTTGGGCAGAGTCAGTCTCCGGGCACCTCAGCTCAAAGGGCTCCGTGAGACCCCATGAGAGAACATGTGTAAGGAGCCTGGACAGTCCTTGGCACAGGGTGAGTGCTCCATCACAGGACATCACCCACGCTGCTGCTCCCCTGCGCCCCGGGGAGCTCTGCCCAGCGCCCTCTGAACTCTCCAGCGCCCTCTCCTCGGCTCTGGGGCCTCAGTCTGACCTGACCTCCTTGTCCCAGGAGCTGGATCAGAAAGAGGAGAATCTATAAGTAACTAAACTCAACATTAGTTTCTGTCATTTGCTGGCACCATGTCAGACTCTCCCCCAAGTAGAAAAACTGAGTCCCACGCATAGAAAGATGTGAGATGTGAGCCCAGGGTCCTTTCCCAGATTCTTTCCCTCTGGGCCACAGCAGACAGGGGGCCTGGAAGAATAGACCAGGAAAGGAGGAGAAGCAACAGGAACGATACCAGAAAAGCAGGATAATTTGAGGAATTATTTGAGGTTCCATTGGCTGAGGAGAGCCTCCTGATGACAGAGCTGCCTTCAAACCCAGTCACATTCCTTCCTTGGGCCAGGCTTCTAAGTTTCTACTCCTTACCAGGCCTCGAAGCCCCGATTCCTGCTGGGCCCTTCTCCGCAGCCCTGGCCACTGTGGTTACCAGAGGAGAGCCTCCCTAGTCTGCCAAGTCCCCTGTGAGGCTCCCCCGCCCCCTGGGAACTCCTTTGGAAAGAGGAGCTGCAACGCTGGGACCAGAGCAGGGACTTGCCTGCAGGACTGTGAACAACAGCATCTGAGTTCTTTGGTTGCCTTTGACCTCTCTAGGCCCCGATTCTATCGTCTTGTTTCCTTATAAAATCAACCAGCAGAAAGGGAATGAGTAGGTAGGGAAGGGGTCTATCTAACACTAACTCTCGGGTTGGGGCTCTAAGTCTTGATCTTACCTTTGGCTTTTAGGGGAACCCTGAGTATGTCATCCAGGCTCTGGGTGGCTTCAGTCTCCCCACCGAGATCTGGAGGGAAGAACTTGGCCAGAGTAGCAGAGGTTGGAGTAGAAGGGAACAGAGCAGCAGCGATCGCCAACCTCATGGACCATCAGTGGTCCAGGACCACCGGTTGGTGACCGCTGTGAAGGAGGATGGAATGTAGGATGGGACAAGAGCGGGAAGACGGGTGGGAGAAGTCACAGTGTGGTGACAGGGGCAGGGACAGGGACAAGGCAGAGGAAAGGACCCCTCCTTGGCTTTCCTGACAAGTGCATCTCAGGCAGGAGCCTGCGGATCCGGGCCCCGTGGCCCTTGGCAGAGAGGAGAGGGCAGGGTTTTGAGGCTCAACAGAGAGGATGGGGAGAGGGCAGATGAAGCCCTCAGGAGCCCAGATCCCAATTGCTGTTTGTGGGAGCCAATCTCCCTCATGCCTCCCGGGCCAAGGAAAACTGGACTTGGGAGGGCAAGTAGGGAGCATAGAGACAGAGTCGAGGCATTGCGGGGGGACTTGGGATGAGCTTGGTGCTCAGATCTGGGGGTGGTGATTTGTAGTGGTGATTAGGGTGTGGCCTGGCAGCTCCTGCCGCCCTCCCCTCCCCCTCACTGCCAAGCTCCAGACTGTGTTTTGTTAAACCAAAATAGGAGAAAGGCTAGAAATATGGCAGCAAGCCCAGGCATGGGGGGAGGGGAAGAAGGACTGGCGTGGCCTGTCCACAGATATGGTCCCTGCTCCACAAGGAGTTGAGGCCACTGCCTTCCCCACCCTGCCTCACCCACCTCAGCACCTTGGCCATAGCCTCCCTGCGCATGGAGCCATGTCCCAGATTCTCTGATTCCCTGGCTCTTATCAGCACCAGCTGCCCCCAGGTCCTCGCCCCATCCAACCTCCGCTGTATCTTCATCACTGTTCCTCTTCTCTGCCTTCTTTCCTCATCTCTTCTGCCCTCAGACTCAGTCCCAAGAGGCTCTTCACCTAAGTGAGCCATGTTCACAGGTCCCTCCCCACGTGCTCGCTCCCCGGCTCTGCTCTCTTAGGGTGGCCTCTTCAGGAGCGGAGCAGGAGCTGAGCGGTGAGAACTGCCTGGCCTGAGGCTGGGTGTTGGACTGGGGAGGAGGGGAGGTGTGTGTGCCGGACTCGTAAGACTGCGCCCACTGTTTGGCGGCTGCACCCCACCGCTCACCCAGCGCTCCCCTGCACAGATGTGGACGAGTGTGCCGAGGGCAACGGGGGCTGTCAGCAGAGCTGTGTCAACATGATGGGCAGCTATGAGTGCCACTGCCGGGAAGGCTTCTTCCTCAGCGACAACCAGCACACCTGCATCCAGCGGCCCGAAGGTCAGCCGTGGTCGGGCGGAGCCCTGCTGCCTGCGCTCCCCCCTCCATCCCTTGGGAGCTTGCCTCAGTATCCCCTAGGTTTCCCCCTCGTCTCAGCTCCACTGGCTCCTTCTCTGTCCCTCAACTGACCCACCCTAAGGCTCTGCAGATAGACTTTGTCTTAAAGCAAAACCAGGAATTCCTTTGGGGTTGGGGCAGTGTGGGGTGTCCTCTGTGTCCAGAGCCGGTGCATCTTGCTCCTAATTCATGGCAGATGGCTGAGCTCTAAGCCGCTGTTATGAGAGGGCCTCACCGATGCTGCGTTCCTTGGGAGGGTCAGGCAGGAATAGTGGGTCTGTGTTGTCTGTTTCTGGGGCTCCCTCCCCAATAGACTGTGACATTTCTGAGGGCAGGGACTGTGTCTGATTCCTCTTTGTATCCCCAGAACCTAGTCACCTGCGCTGCACGTAGTGTGAGTTAGCTATTTGTTGAATAGAATCATGTGGGCGTTATCCAGTTACTCCACCTGCAGTTACTTATCTTCTTCCCAGTTTGAGGACATAAAATATGCATGTCCTATATTTGTCTTATGTACGGGTCCTTCCTAAACCTACCCAGTCCCTGGCACAGCACTGGACAACAAGCAGGCACTAACTTTTGGTTGGAAGGAGGTGATCATGCAGGTTTCCTGGAGGTTGGGTGTCAGTGCCTGTCCGTCAGTCCGAATGGCTCTGAGCTCCATCTCCTCTCCGTCTTGAGGAATTCTCCCAATTTCCTGGGCCCCAGTTATTCCTTCTAGTTCCTCTTCCTCTTGGCATCCCGAAGTACAGAGCATTCACCCTGCTCCTCTTCCGTTTTAGAAGGAATGAACTGCATGAACAAGAACCATGGCTGTGCTCACATTTGCCGGGAGACACCCAAAGGGGGTATTGCCTGTGAATGCCGCCCTGGCTTCGAGCTCACCAAGAACCAGCGGGACTGTAAATGTGAGATCCCTGGGATGGCAGCGGGGGAAGGGGGGACAGTGAGGTGGGCGTGGGGCCTCAGCAGCAGGAGGTGGGAGGGAAAGGGAGCACGGGAGAGGCAGCCCGACAGGAAGGCCAGTGACTGAGCTCTGGAGAACTTGGTACCCAGGGAGAAGCAAGCTGACAGGCCTCCTGCCCTCTCTGCACAGTGACGTGCAACTATGGTAACGGTGGCTGTCAGCACACATGCGATGACACAGAGCAGGGTCCCCGCTGCGGCTGCCACGTCAAGTTTGTGCTCCACACCGACGGGAAGACATGCATCGGTGGGTGAGGCCAGTGGAGAACGCAGTCCACCTGTGATGGGGGAGGGGAAGGGTCCTCGGGAACCGGGGGAGTGGGGAGCACATGGAGCCCACGGGCTGGGCGCAAGAGGACTGGTGAGTTGAAGACCCGGACAATGCCAGGTCGAGACAGGGACAGCTCTGAGAGACAGGTCTCCCCCGGCCCTCTCCTCCCATTGACTCCACTGCACCCCACCGGGAGCCTCACCACACTCTTCATCCAGGATAAAGCTGCCAACCTGGGAATTGTTAGCAGAGGCACTTGCTGGCCAGGGTTGTGGCTGAGAGGGGAGGAGAGCGGGAGGTACCAGATGAGGCCTGACCACAGGCACTGCTGACCAGGTCAGATGGGCGCTGTCACAGCCACTGTCCCCCTGGAGCCGAGGGGACAGAATGCTCTTTCCGAACACGCAGCTCTGATTTAGTTTCCTGACTCCAGGGTCTTTCCCTCTGTAGCCTTTCTCCCCTCCACTCCCTCACTTCTTCTCTCTCCACCACCTTCCAGGGGGACTCCCTCTGGGCTCCGCCTCTGGCCTCTCAATCTCAATGCCAGCCTCCCATCCTCTTGCCCTGCTCTGGGGCCTTCTTAACACCCGATCCCTTTCCCTGAATTCCTAGGCCTTACTTCCCACATCTTCAGGTACCGTGGATGCGTCTAACTCCGAATCCCTAGTCTTCAGGTCTTTCGTGAAGGCTGATTACTGTGTGCCCTCGGGGTGCTGAGAGGTGAAGCGGGAGTGAAGGAAGGGCTGGCCAGGCAGGGGCAAGTCGGCCTGCGGGCACAGTACTCCTGGGTAGAGTTTGCCATGGGGGCGACAACACGCTGGGACGGGAAGTGTGCGCGTAGCCCCTCTGTCTGTCAGTCATGACAGTCAGCTAACTGAACCCCGTTAGTGTACACAATCAAGCTGCCCCCATCTCACTCCAGAGACCCACCGGTCTCTGCAGACAGCGTGGCCTTTCCCCAGCACAGAACGGGAGCAGATGGTCTCTGAAGGGCCTCCCGCAGCACCTGCTCCAGAGACTGGCACCCAGGGCTCGAAAGTTCTCTAAGTAAATCTCCCCTGCTCTGTTCCCTCGGAACTAACTCTTCAAAGACCCCGGAACCATTGGGGTCTTCCTATTGCCTTCTCTAGGCTGATTGTACCAGCTCTTTCATTTCTCCTCATAAATCTAATTCTGCTTTCCACACCTCTCCTCCCTCCCTCCCCCTCCCCCCCAGTCTCACAGGAGAACTGCATGCAGTCCCAAGGGAAAGCTGCATGACTCAGGACGGAGCGCGGCCCGTGTGAGGGAGGGTCCCTCGGCAGGTGGTCCTGGGCACGGCTGCTTTGGGAAATACCCTATTAAGCTTGAGCTCTTCCCTAATGCAAGACCCATTCTGCCTTCTAGGCCACGGCCAAGTGCGGCAGTAGAGAGCACACGAGGCTGTTCTAGGGCCCACAGCCATGTTCTTTCCATGATCCTCATCCTCGTCTCCAGTAGCCCTTACTGACTTTGCCCTGACCTCATTCTTTCCCGCCCTGGCAGGCGGGGCTTCACTGTCCGGGGCCGTCAGGACACCCAGATTTTCTGGGGCAGTGTAGTTGAGCAGAGGGTGGGTAGCTCTGGCAGCTGGAAAGACGAGGTTGGATCCCAGCTCTGCCTTTGGCACGCTGTGTGACTGCCTCTCTGAGACTTCCCCATCAGTCCTTTGGTGAGGGCCCAGCTTCCCTGAGGATACCAGGCAGAACAGGCTGGGGAGTGAGTTTTGGAGTCTCAGGCGCATCATATGGGGACAGTGGTTTGGGCCTGGGGAGAAGGGTGGGGAGGGGCCGGGGCTCGGTGGGCCACAGTGGCTCCTGCCCAGCATCTAAACAGCTTTTTTACAATGTCAAACAGGGGAAAGGCGGCTAGAGCAGCACATCCCCCCTCAGGCCGTTTCTAATGGTAAATATGTCTGCTCTCTCCGCTTGCTCTCACTGGCTTGCTAGGGGAAAGGCTAACCCGCTGGGGCTCCCACTAACCGCATGCCCTCTGGGCCCGCCTAGCTGCCCCGGCCTGCCAGCAGGGCTCCCCTGGCAGCCTGGTCACGGGCCCACCGAGTGTCCTCTGAGTCCCCGAGAGCTGCCCAGGAGCCTTCGTGCTGGCTTTGTCTTTGACCCTATCACTCTCCTTTTCTCCTGCCCCTCCTTCCACCTTCTGCCTCCCCCACCTTCTAACACTCACCCTGCCCAGCCATCGGCCCTCCCTTTCTCTCCTTCTACACAACTGAAGACCCAGCAGCTCCATCTCAGTCCACTGTCCACGCTCCTCGGGCTCCGTGCCCACGGCAGTACAGTCCCAGCATCCCGCATCTCCGCTCCCCCCATGGGGTGTAGACCACGGCCTTTGAGTTCAGACAGGCCTGAGTTTGAGTTCTGTCTCTGCCGCCTTCTAGCTCGGCTGAGTCTGCCTTGACTCGCACAGGATCTCTGTTCCCCTCTCACTGCTCTGGGCTTGGGGCACCTCTTCTTATGCTAAGAGCGTTCTTGGGGGAACAGCTGGGCATGGAGCCTGAACTCAGGTTCCCTCCATTTCCTCCCATCACCTTGGGGAACCCCAGGAGAGACTAAGGCTACATAGGAGAACACACTGTGGCTGCCCCAAACCTGGGCACTGGAAGGACCAGGCATGACCAGGGCCCCCAGGCAGTTGGCCTTGTAGTACCCCAGCCTTGCTGGCCTCCTCAGTGACAAAGGTGGGGCCAAAGTTTTGAAGACAAAGATTCAAGGCAATAGTCCTCTCTGGTGCCTTTGTCATTCTGACTCTGAGAACCACTCTCTCTCCCTCGCAGAGGCCTGGGGATTTGTCTCTCTGATGGGAGAAACTAGGCCCCAGAGGATGGCCCACACTCCTCACAGCCCCTGTGCAGGGCCTGGCATGATTTGAGCTGATGGTTTTTTCCTGCCTCACTGACACTCCTCAGCTGCTAAATCTGTTTTTCTCCTGCTCTGAATTCAGAAAATAGGGCAAGTGACCCATCCATACATCCCTACTTCCGACCTCTCAGCAAAGGGAAACTTACCAGTCCAGAGGGGGTGACAGAAAAGACAGCACTAAGGTCCTGTAACTCTCTGACCTGCCTTCCTACCCCTTTCTGCTCTGACTCTGCTTCTTTTGCCCCCTCTGCTGCCCTCCCCATCAGGAAAGTAGAATGACGGAACAGTCTGCTGTTCTCCACCCGGAACTAAAAGGAGGGCTTGGGAGGAGCTGTGGGTAGCCTCGAAGGGGCTGGGAAATGACTGCCGTCTCTTCTGAGGACCAGCAGCCAGTCCGGAACTGGATTTTTCCTTAAAACAGAGGGACAGGGAGGCAGGGAAGGATGAATCGGTGGCCATCAGCTGTCTTAGTAATCACCAGGCTAACTCTTCCCAGGATTATCCCACCATGACTCCCACCCTCCAAAGAGGTAGTCATTGGAAAGAGGAGGGAACTCCTGTCTGCCCCTTCTCATTCCCTGGTAGCGAGTGCTCCCACCCTCCTTGCACACTCCCTCTCTGCCTCCTCCACCCCTCAGCACATTCCTGCCTGACAGCTCTGGCTTGTACCTGCCTCACTGCTGTCCACCTTGTTTCAATCAAGTAGGGGGCAGGGACGTGGACTGCTTGGCTGCACTGTGAGGGGCTGGGGGCTGGGAGCCTCCGCTTACTGCTCCTTGTAAAGCACAGGGAGGCAGCCGAGGCCTCCCCTCTGCCCTCGGGCCTCCGTGCTCTCCATCACCCTAGAGTTTGGGGTTCCTCCAGGCTGATAACCTGTTACCATCCCTGGCCTCCCTCCTAAACAGAGACCTGTGCTGTCAACAACGGGGGCTGCGACAGTAAGTGCCACGACGCAGCAACAGGTGTCCACTGCAGCTGCCCTGTGGGCTTCATGCTGCAGCCAGACAGGAAGACCTGCAAAGGTAAGGGGCTTCAGAGGACGGGCGCGAGGGGAAGGGGCTGAGGTGGGGACTGAGAGGGTCCCTGTGATGGGACCAAACCTCCCGCACCCCTGGAGGCTCCTGATGCTAAAGAACTGAGGTCATAACTAAGGCTTGTCCGCTGTCCACCTTTCCCATCTCTGTTCAAGGGGCACAGAAGTGCTGCCAGTCCCTTAGTGTTCCCTGCCCTAACCACCTTGGTTTCCCTATTTCCATTCCTGTCCCCTGCAGATCCTTAACCCTCTGGGCTAATGAACCTGCCATTTACATATGTCCCTGGGTCTAGAAGGATATTTGAGCCTGTGTGTGCATGAAGTATGTTCAGTACCCTCTTATCCCACATGGGCAAGGCCTTCCCTGTGAACAGGCTCACTGGTCTAGTGGGAGCACTGATTCTGAAGCCTGGCTCCTGGGTTCGCTCTGCCTCGGCTTCCCTCTGTGATCCTGGGCAAGTAACTTGCATCTCTGTGCCTGAGTTTCACCACAATGAGGGTGCTTGCAGAAGGTTGTAAGAATTAAAGGAGTTATAAATTATGAAGTACTTAGAACAGGCCTGACATGATAAACACTTTGGTTAGCTGTTATTATGGCATACTTTTCCACACTGGCATCTCTTTCCTCTCCTTTAATGAGCCAGGACTACGGGAAGGTTGGGGAGTGCAGGGCAGCCATGCTGAAAACAGTGATTCATCAGGGCTTGTTCCCTGGTCGCAGGAGCGAGGACTGGAAGGAGGTCTGGGCTCTTTCTTTGTGTCTTTTGGCCAACAGCTGGCCCGGAGGGCTGGGGAGGGCTGGGGCAGCAGGTCAGACAGCCAGAGTGGAGAGGTTTCCTGCTGAGAAGGACTGTTGACAGGTATGCTGAGAGAGAAGTGGAGGGCTGCCCCTCCCCCAAGTAGGGGTGCGTAGCCTGGGTCCTGTCTGCCACCAGCTTGGGGAACTTGACCTCAGGAAGGAAGCTGCTCACCCCGCCCCTCCCTCTCCCTTCCTAGTGCTGAAAGCTGCCTCAGGCCTGAGTCTCTCCAGATCTCTCCCAGTCCAGCCCCTGCCTGGCCCTCTCCCCTCCCCCATCAGCTACCCAGCCTCACTGGCTGGCTTTTCCCCTCTGAAGAGCTGTCCCTTTGACTATCCACGTCTCTGTGCCATCTCCTCACCCATCCTGCTGGGCGCCAGTGGCAGGTGGGGGGTGGGAGGGAGAGGAGGGGGAAGTAAACCCCATCCTCCAGCCATCTGGAGAAGGGCCACCAGCAGCAGAGTGAAGGGCATGGACTAGCCCTGTTGGTCAAAAACCATCACCTACTTCCTGCTCCAGGCAGCTACCCAGGGCCTGACCTGGCTCCCCTGCGTCCCCTTAGAGGACTCAGCCTGAGGAAAGGTTGCTAACGGCACAGACAATCCCTGAACAGGGAAGAAATGGGAGAGCCAGAAGGGGCAGGCTCGGGGCTCTCCATGATGCTGGCGTGAGGGAGCACGTGATCCTGTGTCCTTGTTTATTCCCGGCCTTCAGCATTGCCTTTGATGTTCTCTACTCTGTCCTGCTTCCCCAGACATAGACGAGTGCCGCTTGAACAATGGTGGCTGTGACCACATTTGCCGCAACACGGTGGGCAGCTTTGAATGCAGCTGCAAGAAGGGCTATAAGCTGCTCATCAATGAGAGGAACTGCCAGGGTGAGTGGACTTGGGCCAAGGAGAAAGTCCTGGACAGGTTTGGGTGGAGAGTCTCAGACACTGTGGAGACTTTCTGCAAATTAGCAAATGTGCGCCTTTCGGACGGCCCGGCTCCACACTGGGTGCATGGCTTGGCAGAGTGAGGGGTAGGTTTCACCCCAATCCATATCCTGGGCGGGGTCTGACCATCCTAACCACACGTAGTGGCCCTGATCCAGAGGCATTCGGGCTCGCAGTTCCTGACTCCAGGGATCCAAGCGAAGGGGCCCGGGATGGGGAGCATTGCTGAGTCGCCATAAGTAGGGGCTTTCAATTTAGGAGAGAGCCAAGGCCTCTCACTTGGGCCCTTCACCTGAGCAAAGGGTCCCAGGGCCAAGTCGCCCAAGACAGACTCTGGCTTGAATCCTTGCTCTTCCAGATATAGATGAGTGTTCCTTTGATCGAACCTGTGACCACATATGTGTTAACACACCGGGAAGCTTCCAGTGCCTCTGCCATCATGGCTACCTGCTGTATGGAGTCACCCACTGTGGGGGTAAGCCAGCAAATTTGGACCCTCAGCTACCAGGCCCCTCTCCCTCCTCACGGTTCAGCTGAACAAGCCTCTGAGTTGGCTTGTGCCTAGGGGCAAATCCCCAGGCACACGTGCCATGTCTGCATCCATCGTGATGAAATGGGAGGAATTGAGACAACAAGTACCAGGGACTGGCATCCTGCCTCCAAAATGTCTGTCTTCCCTCCCCATTGCTTCCCCTAGACTCCTGTCCTTAGCTCCCAATGTCAGCCCCGCCGGTAGGTAGCAGTGGGAGGCTTTAAGAAGCTCATCACCGTGGCCCCTTCTCAGTCATTCTTTTGACGGTGGACAGAGATAAAGAAAGGAGGTCTTGGGCTTGACCTCTTCTCAGACCGGTAGTCATCTTCAAATGCCTGGAACTCTAACCAAAGGTCCTTACCTACTGCCCACTCCCTGGCTCCTTCTTCTCCCCATCAATGTTTGTCGGTGACTCCCTGCTCCTCCCCCCAGATGTGGACGAGTGCAGCATCAACCGGGGAGGTTGCCGCTTTGGCTGTATCAACACTCCTGGCAGCTACCAGTGTACCTGCCCAGCAGGCCAGGGCCGACTGCACTGGAATGGCAAGGATTGCACAGGTGGGCATCGCCCTCTGCTGGCCGAAGCTGGCACTACCATTTCAGGGGTTCTGGAAAGCAAAGCATTCCATGTTGAGGAAAGTGAAGTAGTAGGAATAGGGGTGGAGAGCGTAGCTCCTTGTTAGGCACATGAAGGGTCCGGTAAATAACCTTTCACCCCTTTATCGGTCTCTGCGTAAGTTACAATTAGGTACAATTCTGCATGTAGCCAGTTCTCTTCCTCCACACTGCCAGCTGAGGGAGGGTGAGGACAGCAGGCCCGCTCCTCCTCAGGCTTCTCTCCCTTCCTAGAGCCTGTGAAGTGTCAGAGCAGTCCTGGTGCCTCGAAAGCTATGCTCAGCTGCAACCGCGCTGGCAAGAAGGACACCTGTGCCCTGACCTGCCCCTCCCGGGCCCGGTTTTTGCCAGGTACATAGGAGGGGCTGCTGGAGGTTCCAGGGAGTCGGGGGACTGGGGAGGAAGACTGGCTGTTCAGGCAGCAACTCTGCTGCCCTTGGAAATGTCCAACCAGTGAGCGGTTTGGGGGCAGGTCAGAGCTGTGACAGCCCCCTTCTCTCAGAGTCGGAAAATGGCTTCACGGTGAGCTGTGGCACTCCCAGCCCCAAGGCCGCTCCGGCCCGAGCAGGCCACACCGGGAACAGCACAAACACCAACCACTGCCATGGTGAGCACCAGCTGAAGGCCTGTTCCCACCCCACTCTCTTGCTTACTGACCCCGGTTTTTCTTCATTAACCCCCAACCTTACTCTTTTCCGGATCCCCTTTCTTTGCTCTGCAATTCTCCAGCCCGGCTGCCTTGCTCCCTCTTCCCTAGCATCTGATTGCCTTGGCTTTTGTAATCCCTCTCCTCCAGCCAAGCCCTGGCTTATTGCCCAGCTGCTCAACGTCCCCCACAGCAGCCCCCTCACACTCCCGGGGCTCCTAGGCTCTGCTGAGCTTCTCCCATCCCTCTAGAGGCTGCAGTGCTGGCGGTTAAACAGCGGGCCTCCTTCAAGATCAAAGACGCCAAATGCCGTTTGCACCTGCGCAACAAAGGCAAAATGGAGGAGGCCAGCAGAATCCTGGGGCCAGGTTTGGACTGGGGACCCCACTCCAATAGATTGTCTGGCCTTCAAACCCTCCCCACCCCTCAACTCTTCTGCTTAGTGAGATCACCCAAAACCCACTGGACCCTGAACTCTAGAAAGAGCAGGGGCAAGAGCAGATGTAGGCAAAGAGCCCGAGGAAATCCCAGGGTATTCTCCTGACCAAGTAAAAAAGAAGGAGGTAGAGGCAGGCAGAGAGCTGGTGAGGGGTGTCGGCTTGGGTGGAGGGTGAGAGCTGGAGGGAGAGCTTTGCCCCCCCCCCCAGGAGGGGCCCTGGGTTGACAAGGCCTTCCCCCAGGTGCGGCATCCTGCTCTGACTGCCAGGTCACCTTCATCCACCTCAAGTGTGACTCCTCTCGGAAGGGCAAGGGCCGCAGGGCCCGGACCCCTCCAGGCAAGGAAGTCACTCGGCTCACCCTAGAACTGGAGGCAGAAGTCAGAGCCGAAGAAACCACAGGTGGGCCTGGGAGCACTGCTGGAGGAGGGCAGGAAGGGAGGGCAGAGGTAGGGAAACCACAGGTCTCAACAGCAAGGGGGACGGGTGGAGCCTGTACTAGGGGCAGACCCTGCCTAATGCCAAGCCCAGGAGCCAGTCCTCTCACCTGTAGCCCCTAGCTTTGCTCTTTCCCTGCTGCTCACAGCCACTCTCCTCTCTTCCTCCTCTGGCTCATACCACCACCTGCCACAGCCAGCTGTGGGCTGCCCTGCCTCCGACAGCGGATGGAACGGCGGCTGAAAGGGTCCCTGAAGATGCTTAGAAAGTCCATCAACCAGGACCGCTTTCTCCTGCGCCTGGCAGGCCTTGATTATGAGCTGGCCCACAAACCGGGCCCGGTAGCTGGGGAGCGAGCTGAGCTGGTGGAGGCCTGTAGGCCTGGGCAGCACCGCGCGGGGGCCAAGTGTGGTAAGGGAGCTTGCTGGGATACAGGGGAGCATGGGAATAGAAAGACCCACCTGGGGCCTGGCTCAGAGCAGAATACATGACGGCCTCAGTTGCATCTCTCAAACTGTGAGGCAGCCAAGACCTCCTGCCCCTCCCTGGTCCTGAAATCTAGGACAACAGGTGGGGCCACGACACTCCTGCACATGGCTTTGGCCCCTGATTCTTCCACGCAGAACATTCTGTTTCCAGACAGAGGTTCTCCTTAAATCTGGGGGAGCGGGAAGGGGAGTCCCAGGCCTGGGTGGTGGGAAACAGGGGGGTGGGTGGCTAGCACAGCCGACTCTCCCTCAGTCAGCTGCCCGCAGGGAACGTATTACCACGGCCAGACGGAGCAGTGTGTGCCATGCCCAGCGGGCACCTTCCAGGAGAGAGAAGGGCAGCTCTCCTGCGACCTTTGCCCTGGGAGTGATGCCCACGGGCCTCTTGGAGCCACCAACGTCACCACATGTGCAGGTGCCAGGGGAACAAACAATGCAGAGTGGGGTAGGGTGGGCACTGGGATGCCCATGGGCATGGGAATTCCCAAGGGCAGGCCCAGGCTCCAGGCTCCTCTCCTAGTGAACATCCTGTTTGTGTGCCTCTGTCCCCTGAGACTGGGTGACCCCAAAGGGATGACCAGGACCACCCCCATCAGAGTTGGGCCCTTGGTTCATTGCAGGTCAGTGCTCACCAGGCCAGCACTCTATAGACGGGTTCAAGCCCTGCCAGCCATGTCCACGTGGCACCTATCAACCCGAAGCGGGACGGACTCTGTGCTTTCCGTGTGGTGGGGGTCTCACCACCAAGCACGAGGGGGCCACCTCCTTCCAAGACTGTGACACCAAAGGTGAGTAGGCTCCTCACCCCAGCAGGAGACTTCCCTTCCCCAGACACTTCCCCAGATTCTCCAAGCCTCCAGAGTAGACCCAAGTTTGTTGCTCCGCCATCTTCCCCAAACCAAGAAAGGCCTAGCTGCCTGGCCACCCACACCATCCTGCTCGAGGCCCCGTCCTGACCCACTGCAGCCATGAGCCTGGGAATTGGGGGGTAAATAACAATAAGGTACCTTTGGAAAACTGGTGGCACAGTCTCCCCAACACTACAAACGCGTTCTGGTGCAGGTTTAGCCCTGCTCAGCGCCTGAAAGAAAAGGATTGGCTCTGTAGCCGACCGCTGTCAAGCTTGCTTTCCCTGCCGGGAACTCTGGCATGACCAGGAAAGGATGGGGCTCTGGGAGAAACGGTGGTGTCTTCAGTGTCCTGATTCTCCAGGACGAATGTGTCCAGCCCATCCCATGTCCCAGAACTCTCACTCGCCTGCCACCTTAACGGCTACCTTTCCCCTTGCCTGCAGTCCAGTGCTCCCCTGGGCACTACTACAACACCAGCATCCACCGCTGCATCCGCTGTGCCATGGGGTCCTATCAGCCTGACTTCCGCCAGAACTTCTGCACCCGCTGTCCAGGAAACACCAGCACTGACTTCGATGGCTCCACCAGTGTAGCCCAGTGCAAGAGTATGTGCAGGCCAGGCTGCAGAAAGGGGGTTAGAGAGGCCGGGAGCAGTGGGCACAGGAAGAAGCAAGGTGGGAGTAAGCCAACTGGGAGCGGACCTGGGAAGTGGATGGGCAGGGATGTCCCATCCTCTGTCTCTCCCCAACTCATTCAGGCTCAAGATCAGTTGCTGGGATGGGCCCTGTAGCACTCTCTCCCTGGAGACGGGTAATGGGGAGGCAAAGACAGGTGAGGTGAGATAAGAGGATACTAAAAGAGCAGGAGAGAAGGTGGACCCAGAACCTGGAGAATGGATGATGAGCTAAGAAAGGTGGCTAGCTACCTATAATACATGAGTCTGATTTCTACTTCAGAGCTCTTCATTTTCCCCAACCCATTTCCCCACTGACTTCACTTCTCTTTCTTGCTCTGCCCACTGCCCTTGGCTACAGATCGTCAGTGTGGTGGGGAGCTGGGTGAGTTCACTGGCTATATCGAGTCCCCCAACTACCCAGGCAACTACCCAGCTGGCGTGGAGTGCGTCTGGAATATCAACCCCCCGCCCAAGCGCAAGATTCTTATCGTGGTACCCGAGATCTTCCTGCCATCTGAGGACGAGTGTGGGGACGTCCTCGTCATGAGAAAGAACTGTGGGTGGCTGCAGAGCTGGGCCAGGGAAGGGCATTCCAAATCTGGCTGGGAGGGAAAGACAGGAAACTGGTTCAGGAAGAATTGGGGCAGTGGCAGGGGAGGCCTTGGGAGGAGAAGCGAACAAAGGAAAACAGCAGTGGTGCTCATGGTTGGCGGAACGCAGTTAGGAAAGGCAGCACTGGGACTAGAACCCCAGTAGTGTTACATGTGCCACTGTCCTTCTCTAGCACTTTTGCTGTTCCATTCATTTAAATGTCAGATTTCTTCCACTTTGTGAGTGCCAGGATGTCAGAGAGGATTGTGGAACAAGCTCAGGGGGTGGGAGACAATATTTGTATGGGGGTGGGGACGGAGCATGCACAGGTGACGCCTCTCAGCATGATTCCTCCTCCCACAGCCCTCGCTCCAGGAGGGCTTAGGGAGCATGCCCTGCTGCTCCCCTGACATGCTGCTTGCCTTCCCAGCCTCCCCATCCTCCATCACGACCTATGAGACCTGCCAGACCTACGAGCGCCCCATCGCCTTCACAGCCCGCTCCAGGAAGCTCTGGATCAACTTCAAGACAAGCGAGGCCAACAGTGCCCGTGGCTTCCAGATCCCCTATGTTACCTATGATGGTGAGCAAGGGCAGGAGAGCCAGGGAGGTGGCTGAGAAAGGGGAAGCTCAAGGGCCTGGGGAGAGGGGGGCAGCAAGAGAAACAGGAGGGTTCCACCCCTTAGCTCTTCCCCTTGATTGACTTTGCAGAGGACTATGAGCAGCTGGTAGAAGACATTGTGCGGGATGGTCGGCTCTATGCATCTGAAAACCACCAGGAGATTTTAAAGGCAAGTGAATATAAATAACAATAGCCAACATTTAATGAACATGTATGTAACAATGTGCAGGCAACATGCTATGTGCTCACATGAATATTCTCATTTGATACACACAACTGCTCTGTGAATTAGGTACTTTCATCATTCCCACTTTATAATTTGGAAATATGAGGCACAGAGAATTATAGAAGTTTCCCAGAGGTTAAGCTGAAATTTAAGCCTTAGCCCACCTACCTGCAATACAGTGGTTCTCAACCACTGGGTCAGATCCCTTTGGGGGTCAAACAACCCTTTCACAGGAGTCCCCTAAGACCATCAGAAAACACAGATATTTACATTATGAATCATAACAGTAGCAAAATTACAGTTATGATGTAGCAATGAAAATAATTTTATGGTTGGGGTCACCACAACATGAGGAACTGTATTAAAGGGTCACAGCATTAGGAAGGTTGAGAACCACTGCTGTAGTATTACCCACACCTCGGGGAAAGACAAAGGGAAGATGAGGAGATGTAATGTCCTCTGCTTCTTCCATAAAAAAATCTAGGGTCTGGCCACTGTGGCCCAGTGATTAAGGACCAACCTATGAACCAGAAAGTCAGGGTGTGATTCCCAGTCAGGGCACATTCCCAGGTTGCAGGCTTGATCCCCATTAGGGGGCATGCAGGAGGTAGCCAATCAATGATTCTCTCTTATCAGTGATGTTTCTCTCCGTCTCTCTCTCTCTCTCCCTCTCCCTCTCCCTTCCTCTCTGAAATCAATAAAAATATATATATATTTTTTTAAATCTAGGGAAAATTAGTTATAGAAAGATGCTTTTGCTTAAGTCCCTTCCTTCCCTTACTCCCACAGAAAAGCAAATTAGCACAGCATTTCTCAGAGTTAATTCAGTAAAGACCTCTTTAAAAAAAAAAAAAAAAAGTCAAGGTCTTGGTGCCAGGCATTTTATTTTATTTTTAAAATATATTTTATTGATTTTTTACAGAGAGGAAGAGAGAGGGATAGAGAGTTAGAAACATCAATGAGAGAGAATTATCTACCAGCCGCTTCCTGCACACTCCCCACTGGGGATATGCCCGCAACCAAGATACATGCCCTTGACGGGAACCGAACCTGGTACCTTTCAGTCTGACTGACGCTCTATCCACTGAGCCAAATCGGTTTCGGCAATAAGACCTCTTTTAAGGGAAATGTTTCCAACATTGAAGAATCAACTAGACGCCAGGTTCATGTGGATCCCAGTTTAAGAAAATCTTACTTAAGAAACTATAATCCTAGTCACAGTCTCATAAATTATTAATTTTAAAAAGGTTTGTCTCTGCCGGGACCAGTTTGGTTCAGTGGATAGAGCGTCGGCCTGCGGACTGAAAGGTCCCGGGTTCGATTCCGGTCAAGGGCATGTACCTTGGTTGCGGGCACATCCCCAGTAGGGGGTGTGCAAGAGGCAGCTGATCGATGATTCTCTTTCATCGATGTTTCTAACTCTCTATCCCTCTCTCTTTCTCTCTATGAAAAATCAATAAAATATATTTTTTTAAAAAGTTTGTCTCTGTTAATAATTTTTGTATTATCATCAAAATAATGGACATGATGACAAAAATCTTCTAGAACTTGCAGACTACAAAGAATATCATTTCAGAAATGCTTTTAAAACATTTTTTAGCCTAGCTTGTTTGGCTCAGTGGATAGAGCTTTGGCCTGTGGACCAAAGGGTCCTAGGTTTGATTCTGGTCAAGGACACGTACCTAGTTGCATGCTCCTTCCAGCCTGGGCCCTGGTCAGGGCTCATGCCAGGGTGCTCAGGGAAGGCCTCTGAGGAGAGACCTGAATGAGGTAAAGGACTGCCTATCAGGCGATCGGGAGAGGAAGGTTCCCCGGTGCATGGGAGCAGTATGGCATGTTCAAGAACTTTGAGAAGGCCAGTGTAATCAGAAAAAAAGGAAAATTTGAAAGGATGGAGGAGAGAGAACAGGGCCCAGATCACATTCAATGAATGGGCCATGCAAGGGACTCGGCTTTACTGAGTGAAAAGAAGCAGAGAAGTGTTTTGAATGGACATGACCTAATTAAACATTTTTTAAAAGCCACTCTGGGGAAGAATGGTCTGTAGACGCACAGGGTAGGTAGAAGCATGGAGACCAGTTAGGAGGCTCTTGCAAAAGTCCCAGTGAGAGATGATGGTGGCTTAGACAGGGTGCTAGCTATGGAGACAGTGAGAAGTGGTCAGACTCTGGATATGTTTTGAAGGTAGAATCAACAGGACTTCTGTGGTTGTTAGGAGTCAAGGATGGCTTCAAGGACTGAGAATGGAAGGCTGGGGCTGCCACTGACTGAGCTGTAGATTCTAAAGGAGGAATAGGGAGTGGGGGTGGGGATCCAGCTCACCTCTGTGCAGGCCTGTTAGACAGCAAGATGGGCTGCTGCTGATGTGAGGCGGAATCCCTCTTTCCCCTGCTGCCACTCACATTGCCACCCTCCATCTTTGCAGGACAAGAAGCTCATCAAGGCCTTCTTCGAGGTGCTGGCTCATCCCCAGAACTACTTCAAGTACACGGAGAAGCACAAGGAGATGCTGCCAAAATCCTTCATCAAGCTGCTCCGCTCCAAAGTGTCCAGCTTCCTGAGGCCCTACAAATAGTGCCCCTGTGCCCAAGACCCAGGTTTTGAAGACCCCAGATTCCTTAGCCCTCAGAGCCGGCAGCTCCCACCCCCAGATAAGGAACTCTCTCCTCTTTTAGAGAAAAAAAAAATCACTATATAGACTAAGAACTCTCCCTTTCTGTCGCTCTAGTTTCCTTGTCTCTCTGTCTCTTCTCTCTCTCTTTACCTCTCTCCTGCTTTTCCTTTTTCTGCATTCTCCCTGGAAAAACCATTTGGTACTGGCTGTATTCTCCCTGGGGGGTACAGGAACAGTACCCCTTTCCTCCCCAGCCACACTGCCCATTTTACCAGCTCACATCCCTAACCCCTTCAGCTTAGAAGAATACTAGAGGCCCAGGAAAGAAGTGGGTCTGCTGGGGCGTGGGGAGGGAGAAGAGGGCTTCTGCCATTATAAGGTTGTGCCTTACTAGTCAGGAACCAAAATGCCCCCTGGCTGGGCCCCCCAGCTGGCCCCGAGGTGATTCTAACAGCCCAAGGTTCTGCCAAAGAAGCCTTTGACTTGCAGGCTTAATGCTAGCACTGGTCCTCTGGGGCACGTGGTGTGAGCTCTGGACCACGGGTTTGAGCTCCGGACTGCCCACACAGCCGCTTCTGGGTCTAGACAGCTCCTCCACTTCCACCAAGTCTGCTTGGGTCCAATCCATGAGAGCTTACAAAAGGCCCGCACCACTGGGCTAGTGGACACCCGCCAAGTGAGGAAGAGCAGCAGGCATTATCATGTGGAAAGTGCTGCTGTCCCTCCCCATGAGGAAGACTATATATATAGCTCTGCAGAACAAAAACCAGGTTCTATAGCATCACCAAGAAAAAGGAAAAGGAAAAAAAAGGCAAAGGAATTGCATCATCTAAAGGACTAGACTACAGAACAACTGGAAAAAAGGCCTCAAACCCTAATCCCTTTTCTTGTCTTCCCTGGCCCAGCCATCCCCTCACCCTGATCTGAGTGCTCCCTGGGGGAGCCCTACTCCCCTTGCTAAGTGCCGTCCTTAAAGAAACGTGGCTGCTAAGCAGAAGTCAGCCTGGGCCTGACCCCAGATTCGGCTTTCCCTCGAAGCCTCCATTGGCTTGTGGGTTCCGCCAGAGGACCCCACTCTGCAGCCAGCCCAGAGCCACCTACCTCTGGCCCCAGGCCATGGGCAGCAAGAGGAATGTGTGTGCACTTGGCAAGCCTCTGCCACCCTGTCTACATCTAATAAGTGCAATCATTTTGAGTCTATGTTGTCTAGAGGGAGGGGTTTTGTTTTCTGGATTTATTTTTTGGTTTTATTTCTTTCTCCTGTGTTAGAGCAACCCTATTTATAGCTGCCCACAACAGAAGAGTATATATTTGGAGTGAAGAAAAAGGTTTTGAATCTCATGAACTCTGAGTGCTGGAGCATCTGATCTGTCTGTACTCCTCACTCAGTGGCCATTCAGACCTCCTAAGCTCTTGGAGTGGGTAACCCAGGGCTGTTCCTCTGAGGCACCTGATGTGTAGGACAGTAATTCTGGGGACTTCATGGAGCAGGAAGGAGAGGGACCTGTATCTGCTAAACCAATCCTGCTATCCCTGTGCCTCTCCATGATTCAGTATGGACCTCATGATTGTAGAAGCAGATGGAATTGGTCAGTGATTCTCCACCCCAAGAGGGAAACCTCCATCTTTTCCATGCCTTCCTCCTGTTTTTCCTTGGTGTGCACATGGAAGAGGACCTGGACGAACTCCCTGGGGAAGAGCTGACTAAGGGCCCTGAGGCCAGAGACAAGGCTGAGGAAGCCAAGAATAGGACAGGTATCCAGGCATGAAGTTGTTTGCCTGAACTTGGCCATTTCCTCTCTGAGTTGACTTCAAGCCTAGTTGCCTCAATTTCTGCTTTTCAAAAGGAAGACGTCCATGTGTAAGCCTAGATCCTGCACACTCCATCGTCAATCCATTGCTGCCTGTAAAATTATTTTCCATTTGTTCCTTCTCATTCCCCCAAAGCTGTGGTCCTATTCATTCAAAGGCTACCAATTGACTCATAGTGTTTATTTCCAAGTGACTGTTCTAGGCTACTGCTCCCCCAGGAGAGACTCAACACTAAGAGCCTGACCTCCATCCCCTTTCCCCAATCAGTAGCATTTACTATCCTAACAGCCTTAAGGAGTACGTAGCCAATGTCACAGCTATACCCCCTCACTTCCACTAGCCAACACCATGGCTCTTAGGGCTGGAGTGTCTGGCTCCCTTCATCTGTCTGGATCAAAGAAAGTATCATTATAAAGATCTAAAATGGCTGCCTCCAAGCAGGGAAAGGTCAGTTAATCCATATTTCCTGGGATATGTCATAAAAACTGATTTTTTATTAACTTTGACCATCTTCATTCTCTGCCAGAAGCTAGGATAATGCTCTGATTCCTCTCTTCCTACCATTTGCACCTCTCGTAGAAAGCTAGCCAGAGTGCTTCCCAAATTATGCCTTCAGGGCTGGCTTCTTGCACTCTTCCTTTCCTGACACCCCATACATATACAAACACACTTCCTCCACTCGTTTATTCCATGGTTTCTGGGACCTGCAAATGATTTCCAGTTTGGAAAGTATAGGCCATGAGGCTTCTTAACTGATGTCAAGGCAGATCTTGGAGAACAGGTGAAGATCTGCTAATGTCCACCAAGTTGAATTTAGGTGTCCAAACTGGGGGGCAAGGGAGGGGTAAGAACCCAGACAAATCTGTTCACTAAATCTATGGAAGCCAGCCTTGGGGCATCAAACTAAATAGACTGAATCAGGAGTCAACACTCAGGGACTCGAGGCCTTTTCAGGGCAGACAGAAGAGGACTGGGGAAGTGGAAAGACGGTGTAAATGGGAAGCCTTCAGGAGTCAGCCCAGAGGTCACTCTGCAGGATGGGTTTTTACAGGGCCACAATACTATAAGGCTTCCCTTCTCTTACTACAAAACCTGCCCTGATCTGAGTCGGAATGGGAAGCCATTTCTGCAGCGGCTCTGAGCATCAAGTAATGCATATCAAAAGGAAGAAGTCCATGTGTAAGCCTAGATCCTGCACACTTAGCAACATGTAATCCCTTTGACTTTTCTGCCTCCCTCTTTCTGTATTAGACCAGGCCCATTCCCTAAACCTGAGGGAACTGTGAGTCAGGAAAAAAATTATCAAAGTCTGGACGTGAGCTGCCACCTGCCCTAGGCCTCCAAATGCCCAGAGGCTGACAGTGAGCTGTGACTGCCCTGACTTCCCCAGGATTGGTGTAGTTTGGTGGGGGTTCATATTTGTTGCTGAAAGTTCAGTAATACAGTCCTGATTTTTGGTACTAATGAAACTTTTTATATTCGAGAATGTTCTCCATATGCATATGTAAGGTGATTCTGGAATGGATTAGGTGGTCATATCTCAAAATGTCAGAAAATGTTATGGAGCATTCAAACTTCTGTATTTGCTGCTTAACCTCAATATAAGAGGCTCAGACTAGGAAGGGAGACAAGGGATAACTGATTATAAGCAGGGAATAATATTAATCTGCTTGACTTCTTAAGCACGGTAAGAAAAAAATGGAAGCAAACAACACAAGGATGTCTTTAAATTCAACCTGTCTCAATTGTAGTACATTCTGTCCTTGGGCCATTATTTGGACTAGTAACCCTTTAAAGAAATATATGATTACAGGGAACAGAATCCCCAGTTTTGTTACCAGCCTAGCTAGACAACACAGACTATAGCAGTATGGACAAACTGAAAACTTTATTCATTTGTGTGAACTGAACTGAAGTTTCAGAATAACCATTATCAACATGGGAGGCTTTCTTTATTCCATGCAGAAGAAATCTCAAAATATTGTATTTATATCTGCCTTCCACTGTTGCCGATATAATAAATATCTCTTACACAATCAACAATAAACAGCAAATGATGCAGTTCATAGAATATTTTGCACTTGGAGAAAAAAAAATGTATCTGAACTTGTAAAAAGAAATGTTTGGATTTTGTATTGTCCTTTTTTATTATTATTATTATTAAAATACTTAATGAAACTCCTCGGCCTGGCATCTTTTCCTCCATCTCAGTAGCTTATCCTAGAGCTGGAAAAAGCTTTGAGGACATAAAGTGTCTTCTAGTTTCTGCACTTACCCAAATTTTTTATTTCTCCACCTTATTCCTAATGTTTTAGAATTTGAAAAGGCTTGTCCCTTTTGTCTATTTTTAAAATCAGTACCAAAAATTAGCCCCTAAGGGGGATCTGGGGAGCAGGGAAAATTTAGGATATTGTTCCTCCTCATCACAGTACAGTTCCCAAAATCTGGCCAGGGCCATAAGTGGCTCAGACACCTCCCTAGTTAAGATGTCCCACCTGTGGCGAAGTACCAGCAATGAGATTCACCCAAAGTTGTGCTTTTTATGCAATACATTCTATGCCATCAAATAGAATTATGAAATTTTACCGCCATTACTACAGGGGATGGGGAGCAATCTCCAATCTCATAAATGAATAGTCCCAAATTCTAGGTTCAGATGACAGGTAAATCTTAATTGTTGCAATTTTATAATTCCTCGAAATGAAATTTGGGGCCACCAACTTGGAGCCATTCTCTGACTTCTCTCTCTTAATCTCCTTATATTACAAAAACACCAAGTCTTCCCTCTTCTGCCTAGGACACTTGCAATGATGTGCCAGAATAATGTATAGCCCAGAGCCAGTGGAATATGGACCTGCTAATATCAAGCAGTCTTTAAAATAGGGTACATGAAAACTCTCCACGGCAAGGAATCAATCTGAAGAGTTTTAAGGGAATGAATTTTCAGAACCTCAACTTTCTGTAGGGGAAAAAAATGGAATTGGGAGTTCAAGAAGAAAGGAAAAACTATTAAATGTTTGTATATTTTTTAATGGTTGTTGGTGGGCATCATATATTTAGAGTATTTGGAGTCCAGTGGCTACATTTAAAAACAAAGTAATGGTTTTAGTTTAAAATGTCAAAACTCACAGCAAGTCAGAATTATCCTC